ACACCTACCTGACTATTTTCGTATCTGTTTAACACCTACCTGACCATTTTCATATTTGTTTAACACCTACCTCGCTATTTTCATATTTGTTTAACACCTACCTCTCTATACTCATATTTGTTTAACACCTACCTGACTATTTTCATATTTGTTTAACACCTACCTGACTATTTTCATATTTGTTTAACACCTACCTCTCTATTTTCATATTAGTTTAACACCTACCTCTCTATTTTCCATTTACTGTAAATCACTTAGATTTCGCACATACTTTATTTCGCGAATTGTCATCTTCAGACATATTCGCGAATACATGATTTCGCGAACAGTGATCTAGAAATAAGTTTGAATTAACGAATGATAGGCTATTAGATATAAGGACTCCGATGTCGGGGTAAATCGAATCAGCAATGTTTTGAATTTGCGATTTACTCTTCATGGGTATTAACGCGATGATAAATCTTACGCGAAATATAAATGCTTTACAGTAATACTGAGGAATAGAAATGAACCATTTAACAGATCAACATTTTAGTCGTTTCCCAAAATAATGAAGCCAATGTTTCCATTCTTTGTAGAAATTTTAAAATTTTGCTAAATGTTCTTTTTATCAACCATAACAGCAATGTACACTCACCTGTCGTAGTGATATTAGGTTTACTGATGAAAGTAAAAGCCTGTGTGTATGGGAGAATGATCAACAACAGAAAGCTGAAAATACAGAACGTCGTATGACCTGTTTGTACCATGCTTCAATCTTGCTGTAACCTTCTAAGTGTAAGTGATGGTTCGCAAATGAAATCAGTATCACTGATATCAATACCTATAGTGGTTTAGAGGAATTGCATAGTCAAGGTTGAGATCAATGGGTATCAGATCCTCTTAAACGAAAAACATATCATATTTTCTTTAAAAAATATCCTGGGAACACAGTTTTCCTGTTATTTATAAATCATACTGTACATACACGAATGATTATGAATGGTATTTGTCATTTCACAGAAATTGAGTTTTGTTCTTAACAACCTTAAGTAAACTATACTTTAAGACTGGTTATATATAAGAGGTCGATACGCAACATCTGTTGCCATTATAAACAACCCAAACGTTTCAAAACCTAAAAATCTAATTGGTATCAGTTTATATTTATCCTCGATAAATATGTAATAAAAATAAATAATAAAATAATGATCAAATGTATTTCACTAATCCACAATCCCTCGAAAAAGATCAGAAAAGAGGATATCGACGGAGGAGAGAAAACGCATAATGTCGTGTCGTGTCATATGCAACACCTTAGAATTGATTATCCATACCTGAATTCTCCGATAATTATTCTTTTATCAGGAGCAACAGGTTGGGGTTTATGGGGTAAAACTACCAGTTCTTTCCTCGATGTTGATTTGAGGAACATTAAGTTTCTTGTGTGTGTTGTTGTTGGATGGGTGGGGTTATTGTTGGATGGATGGGGTTATTGTTGGATGGGTGGGATTGTTTTTGGATATGTGGGGTTGTTGTTGGATGGGTGGGGTTGTTGTTGGATGGGATGGGGGTTATTGTTGGATGGGTGGGGTTATTGTTGGCTGGGTGGGGTTGTTGTTGGATGGGATGGGGGTTATTGTTGGATGGGTGGGGTTGTTGTTGGATGGGTGGGGTTATTGTTTGATGGGTGGGGTTATTGTTGGATGGGTGGGGTTATTTTGAGATATATTAAGATTTATTTTCTTTCCCTGCTACATTAAGATAAACAATTTTGCTGTAATGTTTCAGAAAGATAGATGTTTCATGAAAGCTTCAGGTTTGTCAAAATAGTACATCATGCCAATATGTCTTGCCATGCAGAATATAATGGTGTTATATTATCACAAAAGGATACTGTTATGTCAGCAAAGAGCTCACATGTGTATAACACGTTTCAATAAAGACTTAGAATTAGATACAATGGAGTCAAGTTATGAATTAAACAGCTGTTACTATGTGTCTAAAGTTTTAGGGGTTACATCCACCAGATATATCGATGACAATACACATGATAACATGTTCTCAGAACAATAACCAGTTCGACAACAATGGAACTAGCGTGTGTCAATCAAGGTCATAGATCTGCATGTAACATGAAAAACATCAACATGATATCATATCATTATCACGACTATAAATCTTTCCGAGTTGACCGGATAGAGTGTGAAGAAATGTAGCAGCACTTTCGGCAATATATATTGCAGTGTGATAACACCATAAAGTTTTCTTCGTTTCATCACTATCTGCATCATTGTATCAATACCACAATCTATCAACACGTACACTTACTTGGAATACACAAAGAAAATGTCCTTAAATGTTCACAGTAATAAATTGGACGTAAAACAATAGAAAGCTCAACTAAATTGTTTTATGAGAATTTGAAGGCACGATTTTCTCATTATGGTAGAGTGATACGATTGTAAGATATGTTTTCACGTCCGATAATTAATATTTCCTGTTCCTGTAAATATCTAGAAATACCCAAATACTGACCCATTGATTAGTTTGGATTATTTTACAGAGTTCATCGTCCTGCAAACAGCCATTGTCTTCTTGTTGTACCAGTTGGTTACGTCAGTGAACAACATACGGAAGGCCTGCCGCATGCCGTCCAAAGCAATAAGGGGAAGTGTCTTGTGCAAGGATACAACAGATCTGTCCGTTGCTCAGCTTCCTAAGAGTTACACGAATAGTGAGCGTCAAACATTGCATCTCGGATCTTCACTTAAGGTTACGTAGAAAATCCTCTGATCGAATATGTTATCGCAGTCCCTTATTGGTAAAACGAGCAATTCTTATCACGGAAGCTGTTAGTAGTTAGTTCGCGGTAAACTTAAATGTTAAATGTAATCCAACTGGTGGTTAAGGGGTCCAAAAGACGAATGTTTCTAATATTTCTCTCTTTTTTTTAAACGGTTTCTGTTTTTTGTTTGTTTGTTTATTTATTTATTTCATGGTGACATGCGCATTTTGATTGGTACCATTCTGAAAGAAACCGAATCACATGTTTTTTATAAGATTGCACAAAAACATACAAGTGAATAGCACAATTTAATACACATTTGGATAAGGTAGAGCAGAGCAAACAAAGTTAACAGCATCATACAACTGTCTCGTCCATCAAAGATTCGTCGGTGACTTAATCTGTCTCAATGTTAACCCTGGACCTGGGGAAAAACCCCAAAGTTATCGAGAGAAATGTTAATATTTAATTGGGATGATACCAAGCCCTATAATTCAGTAAAATTCGTAATGAAGAAAAGGTCAATTTGGGACTGGACAAATACTTATCAAAACCAAAGAAAAGTTTGCGAAGCCTAGAATTCATTTTTTTGGGTCACAGTATGCAAAGTTATATAAAAAAAAGGTGTAATAGGGCACCAACAGACAGAAAAAGAAACCTTACATATCTAGTAACTATATACATTTAATGTTACTAAATTTTTTGTGATATTCTAGGAATGAAGTATCATTTTGGATATATATGTTTTAAAGCCCAAGAAATTCATTAATCTTGTCCATTGGATATATCCATCAAAATTTTTATATAAAGGACTTTCCGGACTCATCCATATCCGTCGTTTACCTCTATTTTTACTTAGAACCTACATGTATATTTTTCCGTTAATGGTATGATTTTAATTTCCATGTTTTATTTCCATGTTAAAAAGTAACGTCTCTGTTTCTCTACCCCATGGTGATTAAATATTTGATAATGTAAGTTTTTTAACGAGATCACGATTTCTGAGAAATCTGTTGGCGAATGACCTAACCAGACAAGATTTTGAGAGATGTGGGTTATTTTTAATGATCTCATTTGAAAGTTTCCTATTTCTATACACTTTGAAATTAGACCACCAGTCCGATGTTGGTGTAAACCTAATACACAGTATGTGTCAGGAAGTGTTATGCCAATAGAAGAGATATATTTGAATAGTTCCTTCCGCACAGACTTCAAGGCGGAAGGAGCACTATGAAATAGTGTTTGGATGATAAAAGCCCACAGGAGGCTCAATAGCATCAGATTATAAATTGCCTCATTATTTAATTTTTTCAAGGAATTGGCAACTCGGTTGTTTGTACATTTACAATAAGAGTTTTGTTAAAGGCTACAATAAGTCTCTGTTTTGATTTCTTTATCATAGCACACAAATGAGTTTGAACCAACTTACAATTTATTTATTTATTTTTTTTTTGCAGGCAACCGCCTCGGCATTAACACCCGAGTTACTCTCCATATTAACATATGCTACGATTTAAGATAATGGCATTTAGCTCGAACTGATCTCGATGTGAAAAAGTTAACTACTGTAAGTTTAAAAATTTTCAAGAGATTTTTTCTCGATTATTCATCATGGAAAACGTGCTGGGGTTTTTCCCTTGAATTACTTTTGTTTGAAGTCGAAAAACTAGAAAAGAAACAAATCTAATAACGGATACATCAAGTAAACAATCCGAAGTCAACGAAAAAAAGACACATTCAAGAAATTAAGAACATTTTCGACTGCTTATCTTAAATTTCATTGATGCTGCAATCCACTTACGTTAATTCTTCAACGTGAAAGAAGAAAACTTTGATATTGGAAATACCTCATATATATAAAATCATTTCCCCCTTTTATAAATATATTACTGAAGAAAAATACCCAATGAAGTCGATATTTTGAATGGAAATTTTTGAACATGAAGTAAACATGGTGCTCTTTGTATCTTGTAGGCACTTTGAAAGCATAGTTTTATGAAAATTTTCACCCCGTCTAGTGGTGAGATATGAGATTTGGTCAATATATCGTCCTGTTTACTACCAGATATATTTGATAGATGACGCCGTCTCGGCTCTTCAAACTTTCCAGTTTCATTGGCCTTTTTTTCCGGTTAACTTTGCTATAAATACACGTGTATGCATAACATATGTCAAACACAAACTAATTTACCGACCCGTTCACATCTAACAGAGGATCTCTCACTCTTACACCATGTTAAGTACATTCGTCCGACGATTGCCAAGGTCCACAGCAGCCATTGGACCTCTCACCAAATGGTGATTTTATTTCAATTCTTTCAACCAATTATAAAAAGTAACATTTTGTATGATAGCTTAGACGCTACCAGTGAATCAGTATGGGGTTTTGTATAAATACTTCAATCCTTTGTTGATAAAATATTTTTTAACACATAGTCTTGTTAAGGACTGTAACACATGGATTTAAAAAATAAATTATGATATTGACAGTATTTTTTATTATTTTGCAGTTTACAAAGTGAAAGACAAATGTCGTACAAAATTCGACAAATGCAACATAAGGATTTACCAGCTGTAAATAGAATTCTGGAGAGTGAAAAATGGGTAATGGAGAAGGCGTACACAGAATGTGCCTTCAAAACGGACCCAAAAGGATTCTTTGTGGCGGAGAAAGATGACGGAGAAATTATAGGTAAATTGTTACTTTTTGTCAATTTATTACAGATCAGTCATTTTTCCCGTCAATCGCAACCTCTTTTTGATGTCGGCCTTATTTTATCATTTTCAGATCACAATGTATTACAATGTATATACTGGCTTCATTGCGTTAAAGTCATGATTTTCAAATTTCTGATGAAATCTCCTCACGACAGATATATGAAGATTATCTATAACACAAGCACTGACACTTGATTTTATGTGTCTATAGGTTCACATGGATATCTCTCTCATACCAAAGACCTAGCTACGATGGGGTTATGGATGGTGAAGAAAGAATACAGAAATTCCAATGTCGGATTACAATTATACGGAAAAGTCCACCAGGCCGTTGGCAGCAGTAATCTGGGAACTTTTGTGTGGCCATATTACCAAGAGAAGATCAAAGAGGAGCACGGCGTCAAGCCAAACAAGGCTTATATGACGTGGTACAATTACGGCCACATAGATCAACGGACATGTGAGAACAAGGGCAAAGAGGATTTCACTGTGGTTCCTATAGAACAGACCAATCTGTCCGATGTGTTAAATTACGATACAGACATTCACAAAGTAGCTAGAAAGGAATACATTAGGAATTGGATAGACCATGATAGGTCCAGGACCTATGTAGCAATGCGCGATGGAAAGGTGTGTGGGTACGGTGTTTTGAGATCCCAAGATTCCTTCAACCAGATCGCTCCTTTATATGCTGATGATAAAAAAGTTGCGAAAGGTTTGTTTCGTCATCTGGCAAGTGATGTTCCCTCAGGAGAGAAAGTCGGGTTTTCTAGTCCATTTGAAAACTCGTCTGCTACAGAGTTCGCGGCTGTGAATAAAATGATGAAACCAGGGATTCCTCTAATCAAGATCTACAAGGATGATCCTGTCGACGTGGACATTGACAAAGTGTACGCTGTGTCTTCTAATTCATTTGGTACATGCTAACTGATGCAGATAGTAAGATTAGATAATAATCATATATCTCTTACAATTTAGGAGTAAACCCGCTTTAGTTTGAACAAACACCGGGACAGTATCACTGGAGAAAATCCTGTCAGAAAATTTCTTATCTAAAGCAACACCTTACCTCCTAATACAAAACGTTTCGGTTGTTTCAGCCTCAGGGTTGTGAAATAGGTTGATACATAATATATGATACATATATTCTTCATATCGTAGGTTGATATTGTTCTCATTCTTTGTAAATATAACACAACATGAATTGTTTATTTATTTGACATAAACAGCTTTTATTGTATAATTTTCTTAATGTTTTTCACTCTTTGTTTGATATCATTAAAATTTCCAGAATAAGATTGTTTAATGTCGTTGTTTTAAACGGTCGACTGCCTAGTAGAAATATTTTTTTAATGCAGAAAAGAGTAGGCGAGAAAAGAATAATTAAGAATCCAATCGCGATGAGTTTTGGTTTTTTCAGTGTTCCCGGGATATAGAGAATTCCCATGTACTTGTAATTCTAGCTTCTGACTGCATTGGAATACAGTAAAATCACAAGCAGACTACAACCATATGTCCCGGAAGAGTTCTCGACCAAACCCAACGTATAAATCTTTGTCAACTGGGTTGAGAAATTTCACGTTCCCTAATAAGAACAAAGGTAACAACAACGAAACTAACAAATTTAGATATACAAACGAGCAACAAACTTCATATCGCATAAGGAAATGGAAAAGTTTCTATAGCGATCATTATGACGACCGTAAAACTTCATTTCATCAACCTTCATTTTCATTTACCTGAAGGTTTTGTTGTGCATTTCTGTCGATTGCTGGTACCTATCGCAAAAATCAGGATTTTAAGAACAAGTAATTGAATAACAAAAAGATACACGCTATTCTATTGGTCATAGATTAAAAAAAAGAAATTTTGTTTTGTGTGACACTTTTCAGAGTCACGTCGGGATGTTTTTTCGAACATAGTTTTATTGGTGTTGAATTCAAAGTAAACATGTGAATTCTTTTTGTTTTTGGGTTCGTTTTATTTATTTATTTTTAGCGGACGTATTTTTGCATTAGCCTTCAATTATTTCTCTATTGTCATACTGTTCATCTCAATCCTTTTACCCTGTCGTTGACGTAATTGATGGAAATGCGTATTAGTCGGTCTTCGCTGAGATTCTACTATAAATGAAACGAAATAATGGAATATGGAGGCAACGAATAAGATGTCTTGGTATATATATTTGAGTCATAATGAACCCTTTATTTAATTAGACGTCAACGTCTTTGATATTCAATCAGTAATGAACAATTACAGGAACGTTTCACCTTTGCCAGAAACAGCAGCAACAATGAAATTATCATCGCAATAATAAACCACTGACCTCGAATGTTGTTAGCAAACAAACGCATAAAGGAAAATAATTAATTTTCAAATAATTATACAGGTGTGTTTATTATCTCGAAATGGAATTAACTCAATGTACAAAGCATATAGGACCGTCATCTGAAGCTACATTAATCAACTCTCTAACCGACTTAACTTTCGCTGCCCAGCCATATCAATTAAGGAGGTATATATACATGGAAATGATATATATATATATATATAAACAGAATTTGCCATGATGATTTCGCAAATTTCTATTCACTTCAACTCCAAAACATCGTTTTTGTGGATTTCGGAGCTATGCAATCATTCGGCAGTGGGATTTCTTAGCTACTTGATAAGGTTAGTTGGAAGTCAGGATAGCGCACGCGTCAGAAAATGTCTTCCTTCATCAATTGTGAAACAGTCTCCAAATATATTATAAATAACACTGTATGTAATTGTAATCACTTTCTTGAACATTAAGTAAAATCTCACCGACACAAAAAGGAACGTTTCAGGATTGGGTCTTTGAAATCACACTACTATTTATAATGCAAACTCTCAGTCCAAACAGATAAGGGAGTGTCAGAGTTAGGACCACCGAAATCATCCTACAACAACCTGTTTTCTCTCACCACCCCGCCCCCCCGCCCCCCCCCCCCCCCCCCCCCCAAAAAAAAAAAAAAAAAAAAGAAAAAGAAAAAAAAGGAATGTCAGTTAAAAAATATTTCATATTGTCCATATATAACCTCGTTTTGAAATATTTCTGTGCCACTCTACACAACTTTGAGGAGAGAGGTTAATGACGTCATTAAAACACGATCTTATGAAAACGATTAAACTAGGAAGTCTTCCGGTTATATATTTTTCAACATTGAAATCAATATGTTATTATTACTCTTAAAAAATAATATGCAATTGATATAAAAGTTTTGGATTCTCGCCTGATTCTGGAAAATCCAATCCGTAATATTTTCGGTATAACCCTGACGTAACATTACATATAAGTAACATAATATTACAAACACCCAGTACGTGCAAGTCTTACAAAATGTTAAGCATACTTACACGCCGATTGCTGAGACCTACATCAGGCATTAGAAATCTCACTAAGTGGTAAGCTATTTTTGAAACTTTAAATTAAAAGATAAACAAAATAAGGGAAAGAATACATTAACACAGAACTTCAACAACAGAATGTGAATTCGTTAAGCTGTAACTGATCATAATTAGATCTTTTTATTCTGTTTAAATTCCATCAAACATCTTATTCAACCTAAAATATCATTGTAGGCGCTATACTTTAAAATTTGTTTTTGTTACATTGTGCTATTGACTTGTGTATTAAGTGATTTCGATAGATATGTCCTGCTTTTTGCGTACACTTGCCTTTAGTAGATATTTTATTCTGTTGATACTGACTACAGTCGAACATCGTTATCGTATAAGTCGAACAGCCGATTCCATATTCTAAGTATTTAGTCTGTCCTGGTCAAACCAAACATTCGATCTCAGTTAAATCCTTATATCGAAAACTCGCATAACTTAAAGTTCCTAACGGTATCGCGGACTTTGAAATAGCGAAGTTTGACTTTATGTGTTTCTTTATTGTTAGTGTCCGGACTAAGAAACACATTTCATATAAAATTCGGCAAATGGAACATACGGATTTACCAGCAGTCAACGAAATTCTGGAAACTGAGAAATGGAGAATGGAGAAGGCGTACACTGAATGTGCCTTTATAACAGACCAAACAGGATTTTTCGTGGCCGTGAAAGATGACGGGGAGATTATAGGTAAAATCACGTATCAAATGAGATCTTTCGTTAGTGTGCACTTTACTTTAATTTTTCGCTGACGAGTCTTAGAATGACTAAACAGCTGTATGATGCAGTTATATTCACTGTTTGGCTATACTGTATCTAACTCAAAATGTATTAACATTATATATCAAAAGATGCAGTGCTATTCGCTTGGCTTTTGTTTATAATGCTGTTAGACATATCTGGTGGTCTTTAAGTGCCCTAGGTCTGTCGTTACATATTAATCAAGTTTTTATTCACTCAAAGGATGGCAAAGATAGGAATATGCATATGTACTTGACTTTAATCAAACATTTTTCAAAATTTGTTGATTAATGAGACTAGTGCATCTGTTCATACTGTATTTGACATTGTTTTACAATCATTTTGGCTTAACCCTTATAGACTTAGAAAAATTCTTCGCATCAGCCGCGTGGTACTGTTAAATACCTTATATGGTTCTATCCTATCTAACTCTAGATTTATTGATATTTAAAGGTGCTAATCACTTTGCGCTATTCAGGGTAACACAGTTTGGTAGTCAGTATTTGCATGTATTTAAGCGGTTCTTTAATATCTCTTCAATATATCTCTTTGCTGATGAGTTGTTAGGTGGGATAATTAAACAGCACACTAACATTCCGTTTTATCAACATCATAATAAGACTTCATTGGTTTTTTTCGTTTTTAACGACAATCCTGTCATCTATTTTGTTTGTTTTGTTAACACTGTATAACATACTTTTGATTGACCAAGATTTTTAATAATGTTAATTCGTTACGTTATGGCGTCTACTAAAACTGTATTCGGGACTTATTTACATCGGCCTTAAAATCGTCTTAATAGAAGAGATATATCATTATGATTTAAAAACTTTTCCATGTTGTTAATTACAAAAGAATGCTTTGATATTTTGCAAATACAAACAACGGCCTAACTGCAGCCAAAAAGTACTTAGCATATTTTTTGCTCTAAATGTTTAAAGGACATAGGAGATGTTAAATACAGTAAATACCTATATACATACTTAATACATATACAATTATGTGTATCAATTTTACACAAACACATGAACATAGTTTGGTGATAATGGTTTAATAGAAAGTGATCGCTATTCCAAACAGTTTCCATCTTATACATCACAAATATTTTTTTCTTAAATATTAATAGAAAACAGGTCGGTGACTTTTTATATACAAGGTGGAAATTAAAAAAAAGTTCTCAAACATTTAAGTTATATATTTGTCAGACATATATCATCATATTCATATGACGCATGTATTTCACCATACACATAACACATATTACTTTGACTATATTTATTGTAATTTCTATTTCTTCATTACTATATTTGACGAAAGAGAAATGGGAAAGTTAGGCTTTTCATTGTAATAGATATAAAATGTGGATGTCGCAAATAATTTTTCAATACCAGCAAATACTCGCTTATATATATATATATACATGTTGTCGATACACTAATATGAGGACTGTTCCCCTGTCTAAAAATTATGAAATTCACGATGTAATTACCTGTAATAATTTTTGGTCTGTTGAATATGTCTGAGGAGATAAACGAAATTTGAATTTACCTAGGCAATTCTTAGGTGCCGGTAGCCAGTCTACATAACGGTATATATTTATATTGTCAGTGGTATACTTAGGAAAAATACATTTAACGTATATTTTTATATTACTTAATGTCTGCTGGATGTTTGCCTTTAATGGTATCGGTTCTTAATTTTTTTAACACCAACCTTAATAGTTACTTATATAATATTGACCATAATTCATTGTCTTGAAGTACTTC